ACATTGTTTGTGATCCATTGAAAATAAATAAACTATAATACAGTAATAAATAAATAAAATAAACAGATTGGACTGGAATCCCATTCCTGCCCACTCCGGGGAACACCATTCCTGCCCATTCCGGGGAAGACCATTCCGGGGAACATTCCGGTGTACATTCCGCAATCCACCGGAATTCCACTGGAATGGAAAACACCGGAATAAACAATTTAGCAGGGCCTTCTGCTAAATTCCATTCCACCGGAATCCACCGGAATTCCACCGGAATGACCGGATTCCTGCAGGAATAGGGGGGGCACTGCTAAGACCTCGTACAGACCATAGATCTCTGGGGTGCAGGGGCAGTGGAGCCATTAAGGGAATTGGCCCTGCCCTATTACCATTTATATCTGGTAGTTAGGGTCGAGGGCTTAGGGCCTGGGCGCTGTCAATATCTGGCAATTTCCGAAGCACTCACGGGTTAAGGGTTTGGGACACTGGGCTTTGTCGACGTTGGATGCATCCCAAGGGCATTAATCACTCTGAGGCAGCTAGCATTGTGCACTCTGGGCACAGGCATGCCACTCTAATTTGCTGGTAGGAGCAGGCTGGGAAGTTGGCAACCCATTTTACTGATGGCGTTGAGTGTTATATCAGGTGGCTGACAGATTTGTGGGCTCACGCCGTGGTTATGACCCACAGCAGGTAGAGCTACGTGACCTTACGAGGTTCTCCAGAACTAATACTTGTCGGGGGGCTTGTGTTCAACACAGGCAGCCGATGTAGCAGTGGCAGCCTGCTCCCCCACTATGTGGGAAAATCCAGGAACATGAACGTTCTGGACAAGAGAGCTACTGTGGCGTGGTCTTGTCGACTCGGAGTTCGTCTTCAACCCCCACTTGATTGAGTTCAACTTTGAATTCTGAAAAATAGAAACCAGCATGGCAGACTACGCCCACACAGCAGCCACCACCAGCTCCATCTACCTCTCCACCATCTTTCAACACGACCTGTACTGCCACTACGTCCCAGGCCTCGTCGGTGAGGGTCTCTTCCACAGCTTCTTATTTGGATTGGCTTGTATGAGGTGTCAGCACGCTTGCGGAAAATCAACAGGTTTGTACCAACGATTTCGGTGGAAACAACGACTTTTCAGATTGATATTCGCACCTCAGTAGGTTTCAGTATGGCATTCAGGCTTCGTCGGTTGTATGTGGTTAGCGACTGTTCTTTCGCTTCAGTCGACTGGCCTAAAGAACAATGCATGAGGCCAAGTTTGCCACCATCTGCCTGAAGAGGCATGAAGTCGGAGATCAATCCATTTAATGTATGTCCTTTACTCGCATCCATGTTTTTTCTGTCTTATTAAAAGGTCGTCACTCAGATAATATTTTGTACCGAACTGGGCATAGCTCGGGGCTCCAGTCAGGACTCCAGTGAGTCCCCATCAACCATTGGTAGAGTCATGGCCTAGACTGCTTACTGTAACTCTAAGCCGTCATGCTGCTCTATCATCGAGTCTGGTGCCTCGCCCAGTCAGAAATTTTGCACCAATAAGCAGATGCTGGAAGTTCGCTGGGTTGCAACACTCCCTCCCTCTAAACACCTGCCTTCGCAGGAGTAGCAGTCAGCGCCAAAACTGCCACTGTCTAAAGCATCTTATGAAGGCACTTAGGTAGCTCATTCCTTCCCCGCCCCCGAGTGTGCGGAGATTTCAACCTTGCGCCCTTCATGGTGAGTCGTTTCTTATGCTTCGCGCCCTTTCTGAAGCTGACTGTTCTTACCGTTAAGGACATCATGGCGGTCACCACCATCTCCACTGGGCGTGACATACCCTTCCCTCACAAAAGTTGGCCATCGGTTTGAATGGCAGGTGTGAAAGTGGTGGGTGCCTGTAAGGTTTTATGGTTTTTACAGAAGCTGCTTGATCTAATTATGAATCGAAAATTGAAGTTGTGCGTCTCGCCGACATCGAGGCCACCAGCAAAGCACTCTTCGGTGTCATCAGTTGCCTAGGACGATATAAATTTTCTCTAGGGTGACAATGTTTCTGGGTGCCAGGTTCAAAATGAACACCCCTTCCTGTATCCCAAGACACAACAGAAATAGTAGGATGCTGCCCAGTGTAGAACCGATAGTATACGCAAATGACAGGTTTTCCCGTGGCTGCAACTTGTTACATGTTAGGGCAAGTTGGTGCTGATACAAATAGTACCTTCACTCCGTACACACTGCTTGTGAGTTATTCTCAAGCTTTCACCTCGTACGAAGCTAATCATTCTACATATAAAGAGAATCGTCCCCCACGTCAACTCTCACACACTCCCTGATAATCAGTCACAACAAATCTTGACCACAGAAGGGTTCTACAATTCGATGCTCATGATCGACTCAGACTGTGGGCTCATCATATGTAAGGGCCTACATGATTCACCAAAATGACGTGTCCAATGACAGGTCTCATCGCTGTCATAGATTACAAGCAGGACATTGACTGGTGGCTACCACTTTTATCTATAACCTAGACTTAAGCCTAGAGAGTCATTTCTATAACTTAGACTTGAGCCTAGAGGCCATATCTATAATGCTTAGGATTTTTTGAAAGGCATTTCAAATGTAGGCCTGGGTATTTCATAGTGAATTTTCCATAGATACCCAGCGCATTTTCTGCGAAATTTCAAATGCAGCCCTGGATATTTCATTGTGATTTTTCAATAGATACCCTTTGTATTTCATTGTGATTTTTCAAATGTATCCCTGGATATTTCATTGCAAAATTTCAATGGATACCTGGCGCATTTCATTGCGATTTTTCAAATGTATCCCTGGGTATTTCATTGCGATTTTTCAAATGTATTCCTGGGTATTTCATTGCGATTTTTCAAATGTATCCCTGGATATTTCATTGCAAAATTTCAATGATACCTGGTGCATTTCATTGCCATTTTTCAACAGATACCCTGGGTATTTCATTGCCATTTTTCAACAGATACCCTGGGTATTTCATTGCCATTTTTCAAATGTATCCCTGGGTATTTCATTGCCATTTTTCAAATGTAGCCCTGGGCATTTCATTGCCATTTTTCAATAGATACCCTGGGCATTTCATTGCCATTTTTCAAATGTATCCCTGGATATTTCATTGCAAAATATCAATGGATACCTGGCGCATTTCATTGCGATTTTTCAATAGATACCCTGGGCATTTCATTGTGATTTTTCAATAGATACCCTGGATATTTCATTGCAATTTTTCAAATGTATCCCACATGTCAGGGTCCATGCAATGGGCTTCCCTGGAGGGTGGTCACATGACTAATTACCAAAAATGGTCAAAAACGAAAGTTGTAGCCCTACACTGTAGCTTCCCGAATCTGTTTGAATTATGTTCTGAAGTGCTCCCGTTGTGGAGATATGAGGTAAAGGAATTTCAAAAGCATCGCGTTTTTTTTTTTTTTTTTTTGTGTTTTTCTCTATGAAAAAAAAACCAAATAACATGATTTCAGTATATTCAGAAAGCTAAAAGAAAGGGCTACAATTATTGTATCGTGGGAAAAATGACCAAAAAAGGAAGGTTCATCCTGTACTATAAGAATCAGATATAGACTACCAAGTTTACTGATAGACTACAAAAAAGTCGGACTTAGACTACACAGTTTACTGATACACTATAAAAGACTACAAAAGTCGAAATTAGACTACAAAGTTTACTAATACACTACAAAAGACTACAAAAGTCGAACTTAGACTACAAAAGCATGGACTTAGAGTACATAGTTAGGGTTAGAGTCAAAAGGTTATCTTGACTACAAAGTTTGTAGTGTGCGCTTTTTCATTAAAAAAGTTTGTAGTGTCCGCTTTTTGAGACTACAAAAGTTGTAGTGTTGCGCTTTTTCATTAAAAAAATTTGTAGTGTCCGCTTTTTGAGACTACAAAAGTTTGTAGTGTCCGCTTTTTGAGACTACAAAAGTTTGTAGTGTTGCGCTTTTATTAGAAGAGTTTGTCTTTTTCATTTAAAAAAGTTTGTAGTTGACATGTAGTTTATGGTGTCCTTGGCCCTATCTATGT